GGCTGTTAAAAAAATGAATAAATAAATAGTTTTGATGGTAAAATTTCATGTGAACAACGCTATGTAATTCCAGTCAAATATAGAAAATGAAAAAAAACATAGGTGGATTGATAGAAAGGTAGAAAGACAAATGTACAGAAAGATGAAACTAATAGACAGATAGATAGGAGTGAGAGAAAGGGAGATGGAGATAGAGAGAGAGAGATAGAGATAGATAAATAGATAGAAAGAGAGAGGGAGGAGAGAGAGAGAGAGAAAGAGAGAGAGAGAGAAAGAGAGAGAGAGAGAGAGAGAGAGAGAGAGAGAGAGAGAGAGAGAGAGAGAGAGAGAGAGAGAGAGAGAGAGAGAGAGAGACAGAGACAGAGACAGACAGACAGACAGACAGATAAACAGAGACAGAGACAGAGACAGACAGAGTCAGAGAGAAAGAGAGAGAGAGGGAGCGAGAGAGAGAAAGAGAGAGAGAGAGAGAGAGAGAGAGAGAGAGAGAGAGAGAGAGAGAGAGAGAGAGAGAGAGAGAGAGAGAGAGAGAGAGAGAGAGAGGAATGAAAAGAAAATTATATTTCTCCCGTAGTCTTTCATGGGGAAAATTGTAATATATTACGAGAACCACCAATATGCTGCAGGTATCCAAGCCACATAGAGAGAATTGCATGTATGTATTAAGCAATAAATACAAGCAAATCAGCATTAATACAAATTAAAACTATAAAAATCAATAGTCTAACAAACATACACAGAGGAAAATGAAAAGCAGAAAGAAGAGAAAATATGAAAGAATGAAAAGAAAAAAGAAAACAAGAAAAGAAATAAGAAGAATAGTGTGAGAGAAAAAATACAAAACCAAAGTTAAAGAAAAATCAGATATGCAAACCAAAAATTACAAGCAGAATTTTATTCTCTCATGAATGAAAAAAAAAGTTAGAAAACAGAAAGAGAAGAGAAACGAAAGAAGAAAAGACAAAACAATAAAACCGTCAAACGCGCCATGAAATCCGAGAAAATTTAAAAGAAAAAGAAAGGAACAAACCAAAACAAAGACAAAAAACAAAACGAAAAACAAAACAAAAAGAACTGAAAAACACACAATAAACGAAAGAAGAAGAAGAAAACGAAGAAGAAGAAAAAAAAAGAAGAAGAAGAAGAAAATGAAGAAGAAGAAGAAGAAAACAAAGAAGAAGAAAAAAAAACAAAGAAGAAGAAGAAGAAGAAGAAAACGAAGAAGACGAAAAAGAAAAAAAAAGAAAACGAAGAAGAAGAAGAAGAAGAAGAAGAAGAAAACGAAGAAGAAGAAGAACAAGAAGAAGAAGAAAAAAAAGAAGGAAAAGAAAAAGAAGAAGGCAGACCGAGCGAGCGAGGGCCCCAAGATCCCCCGCCGCCTCCCTCCTGCTCCGCCTCCCTCCAACCCGGGGTATTGGGGTCTTGAGCCTCGTTAGACATGTCTTTGTTTGCTTCGAGACCTGAGGCTTTGCCATGAGGAGGAGAGTGCCATGAGGAAGAGAAGGGGGCCATGAGGAAGGGAATGCCATGAGGAGGAGAAGGGGGTCATAAGGAGGGGAATGTCATGAGGAGGAGAGGGGGGCCATGAGGAAGAGAAGAATGCCATGAGCAGGAGAAGGGGAGCATGGGCACGAGAGAGGCATGAGGAGGATAAAGGGGCATGAGGAGAGGAGTGCCATGAGGAGGAGAAGAGTACCAAGAGCAGGAGGAAGGTGCCGTGAGTTTTAAAAAAAAAGGGAGGGGGGTGACATGGATATGTGAATACACTTATTCATGTGTAGAGTGAATGCGTCATGAGAAAAATTAGTGTTCCATGAGCAGCAGTACCATATCATGAGGAATACTATAGCGTCACGTGTCAGAGGAGAGCCGAGAGTAAAAGAAGAGAAGAGAAGGCACCATGAGGAAGAGGAAGGCGCTATGAGGAGGGTGCCATGAGTAAGCAGCAGAGGACATGAGTAAGAGGAGGACGCCTTGAGTGAGAGTAAGGAAGAGGAAAGTCTCATGAGTAAGAGGAAGTTGTAATGAGTAGAAGCATGGCGCCATGAGTAAGAGGAAAGCGTCATAAGTAAGAGGAAAGCGTCATGAGTAAGAGTAAAGCGTCATGAGTGAGAGGAAAGCGTCATGAGTGAGAGGAAAGCGTCATGAGTGAGAGGAAAGCGTCATAAGTAAGAGGAAAGCGTCATGAGTAAGAGTAAAGCGTCATGAGTGAGAGGAAAGCGTCATGAGTAAGAGGAAAGCGTCATGGGTGAGAGGAAAGCGTCATGAGTAAGAGTAAAGCGTCATGAGTGAGAGGAAAGCGTCATAAGTAAGAGGAAAGCGTCATGAGTGAGAGGAAAGCGTCATGAGTGAGAGGAAAGCATCATGAGTGAGAGGAAAGCGTCATGAGTGAGAGGAAAGCGTCATAAGTAAGAGGAAAGCGTCATAAGTAAGAGTAAAGCGTCATGAGTGAGAGGAAAGCGTTATGAGTGAGAGGAAAGCGTCATGAGTGATAGGAAAGCGTCATGAGTAAGAGTAAAGCGTCATGAGTGAGAGGAAAGCGTCATGAGTGAGAAGAAAGCGTCATGAGTGAGAGGAAAGCGTCATGAGTGAGAGGAAAGCGTCATGAGTGAGAGGAAAGCGTCATGAGTGAGAGGAAAGCGTCATGAGTAAGAGGAAAGCGTCATGAGTGAGAGGAAAGCGTCATGAGTGAGAGGAAAGCGTCATGAGTGAGAGGAAAGCGTCATGAGTAAGAGGAAAGCGTCATGAGTGAGAGGAAAGCGTTATGAGTAAGAGTAAAGCGTCATGAGTGAGAGGAAAGCGTCATGAGTAAGAGGAAAGCGTCATGAGTGAGAGGAAAGCGTCATGAGTGAGAGGAAAGCGTCATGAGTGAGAGGAAAGCGTCATAAGTGAGAGGAAAGCGTCATGAGTAAGAGGAAAGCGTCATGAGTGAGAGGAAAGCGTCATGAGTGAGAGGAAAGCGTCATGAGTGAGAGGAAAGCGTCATGAGTGAGAGGAAAGCGTCATGAGTGAGAGGAAAGCGTCATGAGTAAGAGGAAAGCGTCATGAGTGAGAGGAAAGCGTTATGAGTAAGAGTAAAGCGTCATGAGTGAGAGGAAAGCGTTATGAGTAAGAGTAAAGCGTCATGAGTAAGAGTAAAGCGTCATGAGTGAGAGGAAAGCGTCATGAGTAAGAGGAAAGCGTCATGAGTGAGAGGAAAGCGTCATGAGTGAGAGGAAAGCGTTATGAGTAAGAGTAAAGCGTCATGAGTGAGAGGAAAGCGTCATGAGTGAGAGGAAAGCGTCATGAGTGAGAGGAAAGCGTCATGAGTGAGAGGAAAGCGTCATGAGTGAGAGGAAAGCGTCATGAGTGAGAGGAAAGCGTCATGAGTGAGAGGAAAGCGTCATGAGTGAGAGGAAAGCGTCATGAGTGAGAGGAAAGCGTCATGAGTGAGAGGAAAGCATCATGAGTGAGAGGAAAGCGTCATGAGTGAGAGGAAAGCGTCATGAGTAAGAGGAAAGCGTCATGAGTGAGAGGAAAGCGTCATGAGTGAGAGGAAAGCATCATGAGTGAGAGGAAAGCGTCATGAGTGAGAGGAAAGCATCATGAGTGAGAGGAAAGCGTCATGAGTGAGAGGAAAGCATCATGAGTGAGAGGAAAGCGTTATGAGTAAGAGGAAAGCGTCATGAGTGAGAGGAAAGCGTCATGAGTGAGAGGAAAGCGTCATGAGTAAGAGGAAATCGTTATGAGTAAAAGGAAAGATATTTTTTCATGAGTAACAGGATGGCACAATGAAGAAGCACCACCCCTTCAGCTGCTTGGACAAAAAAAAGAAAGAAAAAAAAAAACTTTACCCGTATTTCACTCACTTTCTATTTGGATCTCACCTTTTTTTATGTTTTTCTCGTGCTGGTAATGTAACTTTATTTTGTTAAATTACTAAGTGGGTGTAGGACTACTGTGTGTTAGATTTTGAAAGAAAATACAATAATTGTATACACAGTAACCTGGTGGAACGAAAGTAGTTGCAACATCGTTTGAATGATTGACTGATTTGTATCTTTATTTAATTTATATATTTGTTTATTTGTATTTTTTAAATTCTATAATCAACGATCTATGGAGTCCTGGACATTATATTTCAAACATAAAAGAAAAATGTTTTTAGATATTTTTTTATTCTTTTCTTTTATTTACGTCTTCATTTACCTTTTTTTTATTTTTCCTTCTTTCTATCTTTATCATAATTTTCTCTCCCTTACTTTTTCTTTTCAGAAGGTTCATAAAAGAAATAATAATTGTCGAACATTTCCAGAAACGTGTAACATGATGTTGAATGGCTGTTAATAGTAGCAAAATATACGTTTGAACTGCAACGTATGGTGTCGTGCAACAGAAATTCGAAGTCGGCAACATATAGCCTTTAACGAGAATCTAGAATAGATATTACCCCAGCAAAGAATTCCGAATTTGGTGGCTTAATATGCAATCATACAGGGCAGAGAAGCCACGCGTCTGATGTTTATTTCTCTGTATGTATGTATGCATGTCTGTCTGTTTCTAAGTCTGGTTGTCTGTCCGTCTGCCTGCTCTGTCTGTCTGTCTTTCTTTCTTTCTTTCTTTCTGTCTTTCTCTCTCTCTCTCTCTCTCTCTCTCTCTCTCTCTCTCTCTCTCTCTCTCTCTCTCTCTCTCTCTCTCTCTCTCTCTCTCTCCCTCCCTCCCTCCCTCCCTCCCTCCCTCTCCCTCTCTCTCTCTCTCTCTCTCTCTCTCTCTCTTTCTCTTTCTCTCTCTCTCCTAAGTTGATGGAGTTCTAGGGTGTCACGTAACGCAAATCAATGCTCTGGTTTACGTACTGTAATGCCAACCCAAAAGCAGTTCAGAGCGTTATTCAAATCCTGCGCCAGTACGAGTCTTCCTCTCTCTCTTTCTAATACAGATTCGAGTGTCGCTATGCAATAAGCAAAGAGGTGAGGGAAGAGGTATGAAAAATAAACCTGTGTATTTTCTGCTGTGATAATTAGAGACAGCGTCGACAATGAAGATGATGACAAAAGCTTTGCTAAAAATGGTGGCGACGACGAAGAGTATGAAAGCGAGGACGAAGAAGGCAACTACGGCAAAAACGACGTCGAGGATGACGACGACAAAGACGAAGGCGGCGACCGCGACGACACAGACGAAGAAAGCGGTGAAGACGACGATGATATGGAAGACGAAGCCAACGGCGACGACGAAGACGAAGCCAACGGCGACGACGAAGACGAAGCCAACGGCGACGACGAAGACGAAGCCAACTGCGACGACGAAGACGAAGCCAACGGCGACGACGAAGACGAAGACAACGACGACGATGAAGACGAAGCCAACAGCGACGACGAAGACGAAGCCAACGGCGACGAGGAAGACGAAGCCAACTGCGACGACGAAGACGAAGCCAAAGCCGACGACGTTGACGAATCCAACGGCGACTACGAAGACGAAGCCAAAGCCGACGACCAAGACGAAGCCAACGGCGACGAGGAAGACGAAGCCAAAGCCGACGACCAAGACGAAGACGAAACCAAAGCCGACGACCAAGACGAAGCCAACAGCGACGACGAAGACGAAGCCAAAGCCGACGACCAAGACGAAGCCAACGGCGACGACGGAGACGACCCACGGAAGACACGGAAATGGGTCTCCCGGGAAAGTTCACCTCCCAGTAGCAGCCGCAGGAACCTTGATGGCCAACGGGCGCCCACGGTCTGCTTGCCTCGGGTAATGACCAAGAGCATCGTGAAAATTTTTATGTTCTTTCCTATTCTTGGGTTTTTCTTCTTCTGGCGTCCGTTTCTAAATTTTTGGGTCTTTTAGAATTCTTGGGAAATGGTTTTGACATACTAAAGGATTTTTTTAAAATGCGGAAGCTATACAGTATTTTTTTTTTCTTTTTTTTGCGTGAGCTATACAGTATTTTTTCATATATATGAAATTGAGGAAGCAATGTATATGTAAGATATTTGGAGATAGAGGAAATCTGATTGTAGCTCTTACATATTCTTGGTTTCGTATATATTTGGATTTGTAATACGGATAGACAAATAGAAAGGCGAACAGACAAGCAGATACACACACACACACACACACACACACACACACACACACACACACGCACACACGCACGCACACACACACACACACACACACACACACACACACACACACACACACATATATATATGCGTGTGTGTGTGTGTAATAAGTTAGAATATAGAATGCTGTCGCGTTGTCTTTTTCCTTGAAGCAGGAAAGCTAACGTGTTCACTTGTTATAGATATTAAGCGTAGTATACATTCTGCTAAAGAAATTCTCGCTGTAGGAAATATTGCATCTCTCGTTCTCAAGCAATCTGGAGATTGAACGTTCTTTTTCAAATATCCAAGTCAAATCCTGTCTTGACAAAAAAAAAAAAAACGTTATTTCAAATTCTTATAATACAGAATGTAGTTCAGGTTACAACATCTGTGTTACATAATGTCAAAAAATTTAATATTTCAGAATCATAACATATCACTATCTCTCCGTTAAAGTCATCCATTGTACTCAATGTAATGAGTGTGCTACAAGATACGTACCCACGGCTTTTGTAGATATACAGTATACCTTTATAACTTGTGACATAACAGGGATAAGCAATTAGGAAAAAAAATCATATACGTGAAAAATACATATACTGTATGTATATGTGTTTCATATGTAAGTGTATACACACACACACACACACATATATATGTATATATATATATATATATATATATATATATATATATATATATATAT